ATATAAATTGCGCAATAATACCCAGAGGTCTTCAGGACCTTATCAAGAGACCTTTGCGGGAATCTGCAAGAGGATTCCCGTATAAAGTCCGATGAATTAGCATGTACCAGCAATCAATCAATTTCACTACGTTGCAATAAGCCTTTTCATAGATTTCGATTTTCGATTCCACTGCGCATGCGATTTTATCCCGAATTTCTCACCTTCTTTTGTTTAATTAAGAACAAAAGAAGGTTCGGGATAACATCGCATGCACAGTGGAATCGATTCTTAAACTATGAAAAGGCTTATTGTCTAGTGATTAAAATAGGGCGGAGTTGCGTATCACGTAATGGGAATTAATGTCTACACAATTAATTAATGTCTGCTCTATTTTGTTGACTGTTGCAATTCAAGAATGARACGAATTAAAAATAAATATAGTTTACATTCAATAACCAGGAGKCTTATGAACCAATACGGAACTACCCACATGCATTGATTCAGCTACTAGGGGCTTAGTATTTTCTACACGAACAAAGCAAAAATCAGTAAGATTACAAGGACTCAATATGAGCAAGAATTGCCATACGCGAAGTATTCAATTCAACATGACATGTTTAACTTAACTTCTTTCGAATTGGAAGGGGTTTCCAAAATCRATATTTTTATGAAGATTTTGATTTTATGTCAACTGAACATTTTACCCCAAATAAATTTTGCGGTCTTTCTAAACATAGCAACTTATTTCCAACTTATTCACTGGCTGGCAATCAAAAAGATGAGTGTTCTACAACTGGCCGACACCACTGCCTCTCGCATATCATTTGCTAGTACAAAATTTTAGAWTCTCGTTTACGGCAAACGTGAAACATCTTTTAACTTGTAAAACTAATTCTTGAAGATAAGTAAAAAGGAATCGACGAAATCTCCAAGTAGTAGATAAACTAAAGAATATTTAGTTTGGTGAGAAGGTTTGCAAAAGATAAAGTAAAATGGGGGGGAGGGGGGGGGGGTTCGAAGGGTTCCACGGAACCCCCCTTGAAGGTTTGATCTTTTAGGTAATAGAAATATGTCTTATATAAATTTTGCTTAAAAGTATCCACAAGGATAATGTTGAACACGAAATGATAAATATTTGCTGTCATATTGTTTAATTTACCTTTAAGTTCCGTTACTAGATAGTAAATTAGGTGATTAGAGCCAATTTTTTTTTTGTCAGACATCGACTAAACAAAAGAGAATTATACACAGTTTAAGAAACGGAACCCCCCTTTGAAAAATCCTGGATCCGCCACTGAGTGGTCATGTTTGTAGTTTGCAGAAAGAAACAAACGTGATTCTAACAGTAAATAGACAATTTCTTTAAAATGTCTTGAGTGCGAGATTAGGATGGGAATACAAAAAAAAAAAAAAAGACTCTAATTCCAAGGAAAAGCGTTAGCCTTGAATTTAAACATTGTTATGCAGAGTTTCTTCGGCCGAAAAAAATGTTACGTGGACGTATATGTACTGTGACTGAAAATAATAAAATAATGAAATTCTTATCTCGTGCATTAGCAAGGCAAAGGCACGACATGGCTTGGACGAAACGTTTCCTCATTTCCCGTGCCCTTGAGAATAAAATTTATTTGTTTGAGTTGCATACATATTTATGTGTCTTCTCCGTTAAACGAAAAGACATGCTATACTCTAGGGAATGATATATGGCCTCTAAGAATATATACCTTTTTCAAAAAACGTTTTCATCACCAAAGGCGATTGGCGTTAGGTCATTCCGACATGGAAATGGTTTCGTTGAATACAAAGAACATTGAATCAGTTTCAACACTAAAGGTCCATGTTATTGACGAGAATAAGAAGCAGAAACACAAGTCATTCCAGCAATTCCTGGATTTTTGAATGACCTATCTCCTATCGCTTTTCGCATATTGCCTATTGCCTATCGCCTATCGCCTATTGCCTATTGCCTATTGCCTATCGGAGATGACAACGTTTATAGAAATGGGCGTATAATTGATATTACGATAAGAGATAAGAGGTTCACCATTTTCCATACATTGGTTCACTGGTCAAACACGACAAAGCGCTCAAGCAAGGCGCCAAGRTACTTTCAAAGATTATTCAAATTTGAACCTTGCAACCTCGACTGAATGCTTTGTGTTTGACCAGTGAATATATGTATGGAAAATGGTGAATAAGAGATATGCTGAGACATCAAAAAGAGAACAACTCAAGACAAAATATGATGACAACTTTACCAAAGGTGAATGAAAATGTTTATTTTTTTAGCTTTGTTTGTTTTATTTAAAACAACAATAGATGGATGCAAAACAACAAACAAATTCCTTTGAACGATGTCGTCATTCTAAACAAAGATAAACAAACAAATAGTGAGCTGATGGAGCAAACAAAGAAGACAAACAACCAAATATATAACCCCTTGCACACTAAGGCCAATGTCAAACGTCGGACTTCACATGAGCCAAACCTGATGACATCAAAGAAAACCGCCTTGTTATCCATTGTCTCAATAAAGTTCGGCTCATGAGAAGGTCTTCGTTTGGCCCAAAACTTATACTCCAGTTTCGAATCATCTTTTGCTCAACCGTCGTCTCGGTTGTGCATCGCGTCTTCATGAAAAATGATCTATATCTTACCCGGGTTTATTATTGTAAACTTCTTTTGTCATTTTCTTCATGTTTGTTTGCCATAAGTCGCTTGGCCCGCAGGGCAGCCAGTCTGTAGTTCAGTTGATCAAAAGCTCCCACACCATCCAGGCTATCGATGGCTCCTTCCGTGTTTCCTTGCGTATCAGAACGTCTTTCAAACTGTCTACCAATACGGTAGAAACCACTAGATGGATGGGGTGTGATAAGAATGACTAGGATAGCCAGCACGGCGAGGTTCTTCAACATGGGAGACATTTGGAATTCTGTTTAAGATTAAAATAACATTTTTCAAGGTGTTATAATTCTGGACTATGGGAGAAGGACACTCCTAGAAATAGGCTCCTGATCTGGGAATATGCTGGCTCACAGACCCAGAAAAATAGGAGGATGCATCCGGTAAATGGGCTTCCTAATCTGGGAATATGCTTGCTCACATACCCAGTATAGAAGAAGGATGCACTAAGTGATTGCTTCTTTAAATTCCACTGTTTCAGCAAAAAAAGCTCAACGACTGCCTGACTGACTAGATATGCCTATATCTTGGACGTGAAAATTTACAATTGATTTTGGTCAAATACTAAAAAGTCGGAAGTTCGGAAACCTGACGTTACGAAACTCGCGCGAAAAAACAGATAAACATGTTATAATTAGAGATAACTGGCTAAAAGCTAGCGTGAGCTGCGTCGGTGTTTGTAATGAAACAGTTATGATAACATGGTAAATTATACACCGTGAAAAGATGAAAAAACATACTGACTTACTAACACACACACACACACACAAACACAGTACTTTACAGTTAAAAGTTAAAACTTAAAGTAAACTTAGCGTTAAAACTTAAAAGTGAAAAATGTACGTATTATGACAAATAAAGATAAATACTAAGATTGGGAAGTCCAAGTTTTTGAGTTTATCATCTAACTAGGTAGTGACTTTACAATTTCATTTCAAAAAAAACTTTCTTTTCTTAACTTAGTGACAATAATGGAAAATTTATCCAATAGTTGTTAAGATAAGCTAAAATTAAGTAAGGCTAAAATGCTTTTAAAATGCAGTTCATCGTCTTTTTGAAGCACACTCTCGAACGGTGGGGCACATTTAGCACGTTATATTACGTATTTATGGAGAAAAATAATTGATTTGAACCTAATTTTCCGCTTATATTTTGCTGTTAGTATCTCATAGTTCCAATGATCATGTATCAAATCGAAGAACTAGAAAATATCCATTTTATCGATTCTCTGAAACAACCTCTGGGCTGGCCTAAGTCAGGGCTCCGCTAACTCAAAGATTGAGCCCTTAAACAACCTCTGGGCTGATCCAAGTCAGGGCACTGCTAACTAACAGATCGTATAAATTAAGCCTAGTAGCCGGGTGTTACGGAACGAAAAAACAACAACAAACAAACAAACAAACATGGAATCGAACTTGAAACTCCAGAGTTTAGAGATAGGTGTGTACGTGCCGTACCTGCTATGACACCACACTTGATTTCCTTTAATTTTTTTAGTGATTTCCCCACATTGGCTTCACTTTRTCGCAATCATCTTAGCCGTTTTTCTCGCAAAAAATAATCCTTTGAAACTGCTAGTTTGACAGTTAAGATCCTCCCGTTACGTCATCAAAAGATAAAACTTAGATCTATGAAATCATGATTTATACATTAAGCTACATTTTTTTTTTCTAGAAGGAAAAATAATAATATATATGTATATTCTAAAACTTCCTTTAAACAACACCCTTATAGAAAATCTCACTTGTACATTAACGTACTGCAAAAGTTGATGTCAGAGCCTAAAATCCTAAAAGCTTTTTTTAAATCCTTTAATTAAGTAGGAAAGTTAAGTTTTAAAAGCCATGCATTAGTTTCTGATGTGTGTTTTAGGGATAATTTTCAAAATTGCACTTGTCTTTTCATCGACACTGAATTCATGTACGCCTATTTGCACGCATACAAAAATGAATTTTGAAACATGTGTGAAACAGTTTTTACTCAGTTAAAACGAGATTTTTTTACAATTTTTTCCCTCTATATTTAAGACTTAATATGATTTTAGCCTCAATAATTAATTTGAACTTTTTGTTGAGAAATATGTGGTTTATTTCTTAGACGGCTTAGAAAAGGATGTTTTATCGAAAGCAAACAAACCCAAATCCAATCCTGTGATTAGGAAACATCGAAGAGCTTCAACTCCAAAATTTATTTACATAGTTATCAATAATCCGTTAGAAGTTATTTGAAGCGACTTGCAGTCAATTGAAAACCTGCCAAAATGCATTTCAGATAGCAGACTCCAAAGTTGATATATTTACAAAGACCTTTAAAGATATCAAGTGGACTTTTAGGCTCTTTGTAAGAAAAAAACTCTTAAAACTGAGATAACAATGTACTTTCCATTGACAATAGCTGCCATTTGCGGAAATTTAATTTTAAGTTAGATTTTTTCAAGTCAGCATTTTTTCCACTGTCACTGATGAAGCAGTTTTCCCGCCATTTTTATTTCGCCTTTTTTTAGTTTTAGTTTTGAATATTTGTCTATTATTGTGAACCTATCCAAGAGCTAATTTTTTATCTCAATGTTTTTTATAATAATTTTCTTGATCTTATTTCGAAAATTATTTTGTAATATTTAAACTTTTTAACTACAAACTTTAAAAGCAGTACTGTGCGTGAATTATCGTCTCGATATTTTCTCGCTAGGACGTCTTCATACTTCTGTGTCCTGGAGAGTTCAATCTCAACTCTGCCTTTTCCTTTTAATTACAAGAACTCTCTATCTCTCTATAATGCGAATGAAATTTGGTTTCAGTTCAACTTTGATTTTATCACGAGTAAACATTGTTTTTGAGTTTGCACATCACTAAGCTGATATATATATACTGAGTTTTGTAGAGTGCTCACATTAAATCCGTGAAACAAATACTAATTTTTAGCACTAAATAGTGATAATTAAACAATAGAAAACAAAGGATTCTGTATGAAATAGTACTAATTAGTACTATTTAATGTTCACGGTTTTAGTGCGTGCACTCTGCATGTCTGTCCTTTTCTTACTTACGACATCAACATTGCTTTAACTTGTTTATGAACAAAAAAATTTCTGCTGACTTAATAAAAACTACACAGTTATATGTAAAAACGAAACGTTATATCATCTGATAAAGCAGGCAGCAATCAGAGATTTGTATTGGAATCTTATTTAAAAGTATATAGATTTTTTTTCTTTTTGCAAAGCTTACATGACCTAGAACTATTTGTTTTGAGTTAAAAAATATTTCGGGGATGAATTTGACAAAGAAAGAGAAAATCTAAAAAATAATAGCAGCTCAGTATAGTTTAGCGGCATAGCGAATTTATCACACACACAAGAAAAAGAAGAAGGAGAGGAGGAGAATAGGATGATGATGATAAAGATATAGAAGAAGAGAAAGTAGAAGAATAAGACATAAGAAGAAGAATGAATGAAAGAAAGAAAGAAAGAAAGAAAGAAGGAAAGAAAGAAAGGAAAAAGAAGAAATGAATGAATGAAAGGAATGAAAAAAGTTAAATAAAAAAAAAGAATGAAAGAAAGAAAGAAAGAAAGAAAAAGGAGAAGAAGAAAAAGAAGAAGAAGAAGGAGAAGAAGAAGAAGAAAATAAATAAATGAATGAAAGGATAAAAAATAAAATAAAATTAAATAAAAATGAAAAAACGAAAGGAAAAAAGATATATTACCAAAACTCCCCCAAAAGAAGGACAAAGAAGCAGTGGATATACCATTTCCCTAAAAAAATATATATCCTCTAAGGTCCCATACGATCCCGCGATGTTATGCTTGGATTTTAGAAAGTGCGATACTAATAAACCTAGTCCTGACTTCAAAATCCGTTAATTTTTATTCTTCCTTACCTTCACGTGGGTCCAAGATTTGTTCTCTTAGATTATTGAAGACTATGTGAGGTCTATAAGAAAACGCTGTAATGAGCGTGTCTCCAAGACACAAGACAATATTAAAGTCTAAAGATGATTTTTCTCCTATTCCTCTTTATCCGCTTTTGAAGTGCAAATGATATATTTTCAAGTACATCCCTCTTTATACTCTGTTACAACAACAGCTAACATTATTTTTGATTGCTTGGATAAGTGCCCGAGATAGATGGAACATATCACGTATTTACTTCTGTGTTATTTCGATTATTGCTTTATTATTACCGGTTGTGTTGCCAAAGGCAGATCCAATAAATTGCTGGCATGTGTTATTAAATAGTTTGTCTACACGAAAGTTTTACTTTTATATTTATCTCGGATCCAGTAGAAAATTTATCGATTGTGATACCATTTTTGATAAGAGAAAAGCCTTTTAAAGCTTTATTAGTTCACCGTGGTGGTTATAAAAATTAATTCTGCCTTGGTAGGTCTTAATTCTTGGCATTTGGAGTGCGCCTACGAAAGCGGTCTTTATTAGTCTTTAGAGGGGGTAAAATTGATGAACACAAACCACTCCGAGCACCATAATGACGCCATGCGTGTAATGTCATTTTCCCTGATCGTTTCCAGTTTTTTTATTATCTTGGTCATTATATTACATGATCAGCGGTAATAATATCCGTTCCAAGACACACCGGGTAAAGCCTTAAGCTATACCATACAATATGGCACAAATCCTTCTCTTAAGTTAATGAACCACGTCGCGTCACAATAAACCGGCATTTTCTTATATTTTTTGGTTCTAGGCAGCGAAGGTTCTAATATCTCCCCTACTGAGTATTAAGCAAGGTCTGACGTACGTGCAATCAAAACGGAACTAACCCTTTTCTTTTTCTCTAGTTTCTACCCATGGGCAGCTTTGATTTTTACTTTGAAGTCCACCTCTATTCCCCTTTTAAAAATGAGACACGCTTATATCTATCTATCTATCTATCTATCTATCTGTATTTCTTGAGATACGGCTTCTTATATGTCATAGAGATTTTGAAGTTTTTGGAATAAAAACCCCCCAAAATATCCAATTCCAATAGATAACATATTTTTCTTAATATGACTTAATTTTCATTTGTGTGTGTGTGTGTGTGTGTGTGTGTGTGTGTGTCTTCTTATGTGTGTTTATTATTATTTTTTTTTTACCATTTATTTTCAGATGAGCTCATGATGATAACATTCCCAACTTCTCGTTCGTTGAGTTCGAAACAATATTTTACATTAATAATTTCRAAATGGAAAAAATAAATTTACAGAACTTCGTGAAAAAGAAAAATTCGTAAAAAGTTTTAATTGGAGGCCAAACTACTACGGCTGAATTTCTTATCGGAGTAGAGAGCGCACCAGTAATAAAGATTACGCCAAAGAATGGATCGATATTTTACAATTCTTTTCAGCGATGCGCCTTGAAAGCCTCTATGGATCATGGTAGAGTTTAGACAAAAACTAGGGAAAAAATTCATAATCTTTGATGATATATTAAATAATAGTGATTATTATGATAACGAAGGATAAAATACTACTTACATTGCGTTGCACATATTGTTGTTATCGAAACTAACAAGTGCTCTCCAATGTACATTTATATTTTTGAAGTGATTCTTAAGAACGGTTTCTTTAACTCTTAATATTTATAAACAATATATGTTTCATTGTTACATTTATACGAAACAATAAAAGTGTTAATAACACGCAACAATGACTACAAAAGAAATTAATAGTTTTTCAACACTGAGCGCATCATTCCCGCCTGGGTATCGTATATCATTGGCATTCTTACCTTTGGTTGTTGTGTGTGTGTATTGATCTGTCTTATTCTGAAGTGCTGGTTAAGAATGGAAACACTTCAACTTCCAACTACTTATATTCTGTTTGTCCGGAAACACCAGGATTATTTTTATGCAAATATCCATTCATTGAAAGCAAACGCCTGGTCATCCCCTCCCACGAGCAAACAAAGAAAAAAAACCGCTTCCAATTGAAGATCATCCAAGCTTCTACACTTTTGCCCATTACCGCATGAGCGACTGCCGAGAAATCAAGTTCCGGTGATCCTACTTAAGATTTTTAGCCCCTTGGTATCATTCTTTTGTATAATGAACCTGCAAGATGACAGCTTACGTGTGGGCTGAAGCAAAAAACAAAGTCGCAGAAAAAATCAACCGGTATCAAACTGGCTCTTAAAAAAGCTCTAACGAGATTTTCCGGCTTTATTGCTATTTAAAATAACAAGGTTATGAGATTACAGAGAAAATCTTTGTATAAATCCATGTTTGCGTGTAAAATATAAACCCTCAATTCCAGAATGCTCCTCTATTACCTGAACATCTGAAAATTTCAATTTAGATTTCACTAAATTAGATTTAAGAAGGAAGAATTCATTTCCATATAGACAGAATGTTTGGATTGGGAATTGTTGCGATTACCTTTGACGGATAGTACAGCTCGTTAGATCTTATTAGTCTCTAGATGGAGAATGCCAAAAGTTAATGAATTGTGTGATAGCAAAATACTTTATTGTTAGTGTACTAACTGATATTCAAAATATTGAAAAAAAATCTATTTTTACCGACTGTGAAGATATTTTTTGAACAAAAACAATAATAATAAAAAAACGCCAACTTAAATCCAAATTTGTCTCAGACAAGGACAAAAATATATCAAACATGAAAAAATTAATTAAAAAAATTAAAGTCGCTGTCATTAAAAGCTCATGATCTTTCTTAAACAAGATTCATCCTGCTTGATCTAGCAATTTGAGAATACAATTTTATTAAAAATGACGAAATTTTGATATTTTGAGATTTAATATAGTTGGCCATATCCTTGATCGTCTTAGCAGATGTAATCTAGTAGTTCTGGACTCAACAGGAATTATCCTCGTTCCAGACGAAAAATTGTTCTAAAACCAAACATTACTGCAAAAAGGAACAGAAAGTATTTTTTCTTTATCAAAATGTTGAACCTAATATATATATATATATAATTTTTTATGTGTTACTGTTGCTGGTGTTATTTCGTTTTTCCTTTCTCTCTTTTTTCCTTTCTTTCGTTCTTTATTTCTTTGTTTCCTTGTTTCTTTCTTTCTTTTTTCTTTTTATCACAAGCCTAATCTTACTTTCACAAATTTCTTTCGACACCAAGCTTTGAAGACCTTTCAAAACTGAGTTTTATTAATAAATGATATCAAGAAAAGTACTAATAAATTAACTTTATTCGAAGCCAATACTAAAGTAATCTGGATTGTCGTTCGTCATGTCAAGATCTAACACCTGTTTGAGATGTCTTGACGTTCATCTGTGAACAGCTTGACTGCAAATTGAGTTCGTTAGCAGCCTAGTAGGCTTCATTTGCAATAGCTCTACAAAGAACTCGATGGCCGGTTCTGAAAAATCATTTTAGTGCTGTTTTTAGACTGATTTGCAATCACATCATCGAAAACATGGCCGTTATATATGTTGGTCGGTTGAGATTAGCTACCCATACAAACCGACTGACTGAAAGGCATTAGGAAACAATTCGCCCTCGTTTAAAGTTGTTTGCAATCATTTATATTATTCAAAAAATGAAAGACAAAGCCGTCCTTTTAGGGTGATAGAACAAAAAGAAAAAAAGAAAAAACAAAATAAGAAAATAAAGAGAGAGAGAAATAGAGAAAGCTTTTGCTAACTTCAACCAACAAGGCGGCCACRAAAACTGCCATGATTGTACAAGTTTGTCATCTTAAACTCTGTCAACTTCATTGTCTTTATCGCACGTGATAAAGATCGAGTTTCCCCCTTTTACAATACCGAGTCCATTCTGATTCAAGTTTATTGTTTCCCGAAAGCTTCCTTTCCTATATATACTGATAAATATTACTGACTTCGTCGTATAGTCTCTATCTTGACCGATCGTAGGGCCTACTTTACGAAGTAAGACAGTTTGAGAAAGCTAATAGAGAGACTTCAAACGTGATGTTTGTATAGACAAGCCTTGCAGTCTACCAAGCTGCCAGAAATGTTCGTAGGATTTGACAGACAACATATTCATTGATTTTTTTGAAATGTCTCGCGAATAAAATCTGATCTATGGTCGTAGGACAAGCAAAGGTAGCCAGTCTAAACTTTTTTATTCGATATTAATAAAGGCAAACCGATAATCAAATAAGACCACCAAAGAGTACTAATTTGTAAGCTTTAAACGTGATTGAGATGGACGATATCTTGAGGCGTTTTTAATCGAGATTTTTGTAGTGAATTTTATRAAATAAAATTAAAAACAGCTGAACTGATGCTGACTAAAAGTATTAAAAAGYATCTCATTTGATCAAACTTGAAATTGAAGTAGGAAGTTGAAATTAAATGTACAAAGTGAGTTATTTTATTTATCAAGTCTAAAGTCTTAAATGAAAATTGATACAGGATATATCGACACTCCCATTAAAGTGGAGAGCTCTAATCAGGGGTTCCTTACCGACACCTTATTATATGTCACTTCGTCCCCACCGCCCTCACAGACTAGCACCTGAAACACTCCGTGAGTGCTGCATTTTGAGGGCACATATTTAGAGATAAAACTACTGGATGAGAGGGAAACGCGAACGACTGTTTTTTTCCCCTCAGTTGTAGCACCGGCCAACGTACCTCCCTCTTTCGTTATTTACAATTACAATATAGAATGTGTGCATGATGGCATCATTGGCCTCTACCACCAGACTCCATGTTTCATGGTTCCATCTGCGAGTTGGTCGTGCCCTGACTTAGGTCAGCCCAGAGGTTGTTTCAGGGTTCAATCTATAAGTTAGCCTTGCTCTGACTTAGATCAGCCCAGAGGTTATTTGAGGTTCCAATCTGTGAGCTAGCAGTGCCCGTGACTAAGATGAGCCCAGAGGTTGTTTTAAGGGTTCGATCTGAAAGTTATCCATGCCCTAATTATAACTTAGATCAGCCAAGAGATTATTTTAGGATGCAATCAATGTGAGTTAGCCTTGCCTAACTTTGATCAGCCCAGAGGTTATATCAGGGTTGGATCTGTAAGTTAAGCGGTGCCCTGACTTAGACCAGCCCACAGGTTATTTCGGGGTTCGATCTTTGAGTTAGCCGTGCCCTAACTTAGATCAACCCAGAGAGGTAAGATTTTGATATAAAACTATATAAGTTAGGTAATTTTGTTTGAAGGCGAGAAGTAAGGCAAGTCATCCCACAATATTTATCAGTGTCTCGTAGTCCTAGCACATGTCACTTTAACATTCATTAAAAAAAGTTCCGTACCAAATCAGAAATCAAGTACAGGTGATAACGTGAAAGTATCCGGTGGATTGAATGAATCACTATCAAGTGAATCACACCTTTTGTTTCTATTGTATGTTGAGTTTCTCGAGAATACGAGCTTTAGAGTCAGTAGTTTTATGTTTCAATATAAAAATGGTTACGACAGAGGAGAAGAAAAGAAAAGAGCACACGACACAAAATGCCGAGTTCAACAACGTGGGAAATAATTAATTTTTGTTCTTTTAATTAAAAAGTCGAAGGCAGTTAGTCAGACTCGGTCGGACGATAAGAACATTTTCATCTGCCGTTTGTATATGTAGCTATTCAACATTTACAATACTTGTGCCAATTTGTCTCGTCTAAGATCCCCGAAGACAAACAATGTCTGATTCATCTAGGAAAGACGTTTCAAGACGTTCCTGAAAAATGTGAAGTCTGAATTGCATGCTTTTAAGGTAAATAATGAAGTGTCTTATTAAACTACATCCTATGAGTCAATCTGGACGCAATCGCGTGAACGTCCGCCTTCAATTGTTTGAGAAGCGATCAGATTCTAGCCATTATTCCTCACACCCTGATTTATTTCTGCTTTGTTTACGTTTAAAAAAAGTATGTCAATTTATTAAATGGTTGTGGATCAATCGGTTATCAGAAATGGACGGTGTAGGCATGGGATAAAATAAAGTTATATTTCTTTTTATAAACTCGTAGAAATGAATTTAAAAATACAACTCAAAACAAAATAATTTCATAAACTTTTTATCACCTGAAATAGTCTGAAAAGTCACGAGCCAATTGTTATAAGTGAGGTTATTTTTTATTTCATTTAGCTAGCAAGCATTATYATTTTTATTTTATTTTTTCAGCCATTTCAGCGTACTAAAAATATAACTATCCACTTTTTTCTGTATTTTTTACCTGGCTCAAAATTTAGGCCAAGGACAGCAGAAAAACAAACTACAGCAATGAACTAGTTAGGGATCGAGACGAGGCGGCTGACAAACGAGAGAAAAAAATCGTCTGCGCATGCTCTTGTGTGTACGTGGGATGATTTAAGTTTAACTCTTTCATATTTTGTGCTATTTTAATTGTCAGCATGCATAAGTTTATAAAATTCCAAAACTTGGGGAAACTTAAGTCTAACATATTGTTGTTGTAAAATGACTTTTTTTAATGAAAAATGCATTTCGAATTCTTTTCCAGTTATGAAAAATGTTGAAATGAGCGCGTGAGCAATCGTATCTCTCCCTTGTCTTTTATTCTTTGAAATCCTTTACAAGAATCTTCTTTAATTTGGTGTGTAACTAATTAAGTAGTACAGCAAAACAAACGAATAATAGAAGAAGACGAATAACGGTAAGTCTTCCAAGAATAGAAACGCTGGCTAGAACAGAGGTTAAAACTGGTGTTAAAGCACTGATAAGTTGTTACGATAAAAGTTAAAATGCGTATGATAAGCCATTACGCTTACGGAAAACAAAACAGAACTTAAAAGCCGTGGAACAAATTAGTGGCTTATCTGTAGTACGATAAAATGTGAAGAAATATATTATGGATAAAAACGTAAGTGTAAATGATAATTCACTGCTTACTTGAGCTGCAATTCACTTTGTAGAATTTAGAATTCTTTTTCCTAGTAAATTAATCTTTGG